TATATTTAAAAAAAAGAATTAATTATTAAAGAATATATTAATTCTCATTTATTTTATATCAATTAAAGCGTCATTATTTGAAAGTCGTATATAATGCTGTACATCGAAAATCTTCGAGCACAAAAATTGTAGTTCATTAGCATGGGTAGTGAAATGAACATCGAAAAGTTTTTATGCATTCATACAAAATTGGAATGACTCTCTCATCGAAAATCCACGCCACGAGCCGAGCACGTGCCTAAGATCGGATAATGGGAAACAAGAAACAAGTGGAGAATGAGAAGAGAGCGAGGACGAAGAAGATGAGGAGATTATGCTCTTGGCAATGGCGCGCAATTATAGAACACGCGGCAAACTTTCGCAATATCTGGTACCCAACTTTCATTGCTTAATACAGACTGCATTCTAAGGCGTGAGTGGCTTTTTAACCTTAGTCTACCCGTTACTCTCTTCTTTCGCATATATATTAGCCATTCTGGATGCTGTCTCTCAGAAAGATCCTCATTACATAAATGCATCTCCTTGTGAAATTCATGTAACTTTAATCAATGACTCGTTAATTAATAATAAGCAGTAACGAGTTCTCTCTGCTTATTTATTCTTTAGTCTACATATTCTTCTATTCTCTATCCGTATTCTCCATTTTATCCGTATTCTTTTTTTTTATATGAAACATTTTTATACAATCTGTAACTATAATATAAGCTAATTAATTATAAAACATAAATATAAACATTATATGTGTGTCTGCAGAAAAAATACATTAATCCTTCTCTAAAATATACATTTGCCTTTGTTTGATAATAATAATAATTAACTTTTTCACTAATTTTAGATCTCAATCGATGAAAATTCAGAAATTTGGCACATCAAGATTAAAAAAGACAAACATTCATCTTTTCGAAGATGAAAGATCAATCTGTTCTCTCTTTCAGGAATCGGGCAATGTTGGTCGTTGGCCGTTGAATTACGTCACTACGTCGGCTATGATAAAGAGTATACAAACGATCGCGACGTGGCGCATGTAGCGCATGGTATAGTTCGCGAACTCGTCGCTAGGCTTCGTAGACATGAAAAGTTACTCGTGTTTAAAATGCATCCACGATGTGGATAAATTGGAGTCCGTCGTCCCTGAAAGCATACTTACCTGGCGCAGAGGTTACCGTGATCATGAAGGCGGTTCCTCCAGGGCGAGGCTCTTCCATTGCACCACGGTTGAGCTGACCCTTGCGAATATCCCTAATGTGGATATCTCGGGCGTACAATTTTTGATAGTCGGGACTGCGTTCGCGCTATCCCGGTAATAATGGAATACAAAGAATAAATTCTCTCTACGGGATGAAGTTCCATTCATCTCAAGTGTCACATTTGCAAGCGCAGATGGTATCATTTTTTTATTTTTCAATATTTGATCAATAAGGATAAAGTGATACGTCGTAAAACAAACACGCTAAAAGCATAAAATAGAAACTCCAAAAGTGACGTGTGTTATATTTTTCTCATAGTAAATATACCCTGACAAGAAATATTTCGTTTCGCAGCGGAGATTTTTCTCGATTTATATTTTATATGGAGAAAGTATTATACAATAATATTTTATGAAAGTTAAATGTCTCAACTTATTCTCGGATGTAATGTTTTTTAGAATCTTTTTAAATATATGTCTAAATTTCTTAGAAACTTTAGTGAATTCAGGAGAAAGATATATAAGCTTTTATAGTAAAAATAATAAGATAATACAATTTTAAAAAAAAAACCAAGTAAATATAGTTTAAGCGAATAATCAATATTTTCATCTCTTGCGTATATTGTATGATGTTCGCGATAAAATATATTTTTTAATGCATATAATTGCAATAGTACAATTAAATGCACTTTTAATGCTTTTTCTGCTAATTGAATTTTACCAGAGATGTGTATAGAATTTTTGAATACGCATTTTTATTGTAACATCCTCTAAATGAATAATAGTAAACACAAATAGTAAAAACATAATGAAATTTATTTTTTAATCTTCACATTTTTTTGTAAACAACAATAGTATTTTCATTTAAATCTCTACATTGTGCAATAATATCAATAACAGTACAATATTGTCAGATATTATCGAACATATATATGTACATATGGTATTTTTTTTATAATCGATCAAAAATTGTACAACTAATAGCAAATTCAATATCGTCGAACGTTAGAAATAAAGTAAGCTCCTATAAGACCGATCTCTTACGCGATGTTATCGCTAAGAACAAGTCGTTTTTCTATTGAACAAACGCAGAGTAAGACATCCAGGGGATGACGTCGTGTGTACGTTAGTGTGGTACATGGTACGAATTGTTGCCCTTTAAATTCCATTAAAAGGTGCAAGCACTAAATCGTGGCGTCCCGTGAGAACAGGCGGGGCATGCGCCGAGGCGAGGTAGGTGCCGGGTGCTGCGGTTCCCGTGGGAGGTGCGCCGAGAGTACGAAAAGCAAGGATGACGGGTCGGCGAAGGCGCAACATACCGCGCGCGCCTCGTTACGCTCTTCTCGCGCTCGCAGGGGTTGAAACTCGACTCAGTTGGATCGCGACACCCTCCGCCGAAGGGTCGAGCGCGACAGGATCGCTCGTTGTGGTGATACGCAAAAAATCCTATATCGATGCGTGTCGCAGAGTGGCTCCCGTAGATTTTCCTTAATTTTCATTTTTCTGATATTCACGAGAATAATAATATTATTGTTGAACATTTTAATTAACTGCGAAGACATATAGAAATATTAAAGATTAAAGATTCCTAATTGAGAGAGACGATTATTATTTTGTATTTCTGTTTAAGAGAGCCAAATATACAAAAAAAAAAAACTATTTTTATGCAAATGTAAAGTGCGCTCTCGCAGAGTCGCGCGTTTTAATGATCGGTAAATGTCGATATTGAGAATATTGAATGAACTGTGGTTTCGAACAATAGCTCCTCTACAATTGAAGAGTTATTCTCTCGGACGGACTAGGAACTGATATCTTGAAACGTGGGAAACTAGATCGACATGCTGACGATTAATCGCGCGCGCGACGAGCCGCTGTAAAATAAACGAGTGTGAATCGTCGTTACGGCACGTGCGTGGTGTTTCCACGACTGTCGGCGAAATTAAATAATCCAAGGTCGTCGTGGCGGTGAGAGCAAGGTCATCAGGGTCGCGGAATCGCGAGGAGAATGTGGAGGAAAGACGCGACCAGGCTGGCCAGAGTGATCGTCATCGCCACGCTGATTTCCCTGACTGTTGACGGGACCGCCGCCGGAAGCTGCAGCTCCGCAAAGCTCTGTTGCCAAGGCAGGGACTCGGGCTGCGTCATTCAAAAAGAATCTCCGAACGCGATTATCGAGAGCCCGCGCGACAAACCGTGCTACTGCGATCACGCATGTCTCAAACTCGCCGATTGCTGCGACGACTTTAAGGAGACCTGCGGTGGTACGTGTTCGATGATCTTGCACTGAGAGTTTGGGGACGCGTAATATTGAAAAAAAGATGGTTGTAGTTGGGCGTTTAAATCATTTATAAAAATGAAAAAGATTATTTTATATAGTGCAGTCGACTATTTTTTTTAATCGAAATTAAAAAGTAACTGATTAATTTATTATTTCTTTTTTATGTCTTTTTTATGTATTCGGTCAGATTTTTAATTTGATTTTTAATTTCAAGTTACACTGAGATATGGCATTTTCTTTGCGCAAAGAATAAAACGAATATATTAAATATTGTATATACATATACGCAAGCATATAAATTAAAGATAAATTTTTTTTTATTATCATCAATTGCCCAAGTAAGAAAATTTTATAAATATTATTGCTTTTTTTTAATTTGTGAGAATTATAGATTCGTTTTTACAATATGTTACATAATGATTAAAGATTTTACTAAAAAATTTATCAAAAGAAATTTATCAAAGAAATTTATACAAAATTCATTCATAAATTTTTGGTAATTTAATATTTAGATGTGTGTGTGTGTGTGTGTGTGTGTGTGTGTGTATGAAAACGGACTTAGAGTAATTATAATTAATACTCCTAATTGGAATCAAAATAAGTAAATATACAATTACAAATAAATATTACAATATAATCATTTATAAACAGGTAAAAGATATATTAAAAAGAAGCCAATTTTTGCTAGCAAAGGTGTAAGCAAAAGGAATAGTGTTTTTTTTATAGATTTTGATCCTGATTACAATAATATTAATAAAAAATTCGGGATCGAATTTTGAAAATTGAGAATGAACATAATATATTTAAACAAATTTCAATATTCTTATTTATTTTTCAAGGTGTTCCTCAAGCGCCACAAATTTTTTAATAATTTTATCATATTCAGGAAATCAAAAAAAAACATTACTTTTTTTACTGACATTCTTGTGAACAAACATCGGATCTTTTTTAATATTCTCCAAAAAAGAACAGATCTTTATCCAAGAAGATGTAAAAGTGTAAGTAAAAGAAATAGTATTTTTCGTAGATGTTAATCTCTTGAATATGATAAAATTATTAAAAAGCATTTAGGAATATTTGTTTAAATATATCATGTTTATATTCAATTTTCAAGATGTTCCCTATCGATCCCAAACTTTTTATTAACATTATCGTATTCAGGAGAGTTGAAATCTATAAAAAACGCTATTCTTTTTACTTACACCTTTATGAGTAAAAATTGACCTCTTTTTAACAGCCTTCTCTAAGTATGAAATATAAAATGCTGATAGAAAATGCTGATCAATTAATCAAACTTGGAAACATGGAAAAAATAATCAATTCTTGGAAGAAAATCACACAGAACATTGATTAATTAGTATATGACGCGACGTCCGTCTCTACTTATTCGTGCTAAGCACGCGCTTAAATACACATACACATACATACTTACTATGTCATGGATTTTGTAGGATTACTGCTGAATCTTAAGAACGTAACCTACTTGTTTTTAAGTAACGTACTTTAGCGTTTTAATGCAGGCGAATTGCGGTTACCTGGGATCATTAAGCAACTTACTATTAATAAGTTTACAATATTAACAATCACGTCATCGGAAATGAATTTTGTTAAAGAATTTTGTGCGCGAAAGCTTTTTGTCCGGGAGCAGTCCATCATTTTTTGTTCTTTACATCGACATATAAACATCAACAGATAAAACAGTGCGATATATAATTCGTTTTTCTCTACGATACCTTTAAAACCAATATCCACTTCCAATTTTCGATCAAAGCAACCATGCACATGACTGCTCAAAAAGATGCTGATGCTGCGTTAGTATGAACACAATGCTGCGCGTTTTGTAAGAATTTAATCAAATGTCGAGCCATTAAATCAATCTGACGTAATATATTATACATTCAATAGAAACCATTCATTCTTTTGATGATCAAAACGCTTCAAATAATCATCGCCGTGTATAGGAATATCATCAAGTAATATACTGATTAATATATCAATATATAGAGTACTTATTTCAAGAACATGACAACAAATTTTATTAAGGAAATTAGATTATCGCAGAAATTATATATGCATTTAGTAGAATTAATTGTAATCTATCAGACGTTAAATTTTAATAGTATATTTTGATAGTCGAATAAAAAAACAAGAGTATTAAATAATTTCAGGTTATTAGATAATTTATGTAATTAAAAAAATACGTCTGATATATATACAGGGGTCTCTCTGCGTGTAGTTTCGCTTTAACTTTAAAGAAATAGCCTGCAGGGAACCACTCCACGCACAGATCGGAAGAATTATTGCGACTATATCGCTTAAGTAAAGATGATAACGCATGGCTGAGAGATCAGCTGCGACGAAGCATAAAAGTAAAGAATATCTTGGTAAATGTATTTTGAAATTTATGGGCTGAATATCCATGCTTGTATTTTACAGAATTATAGCATAATGCGAAGATAATGACATTACTAAGGTTTTCATTTTTGTAAAAACGTAATCGCCAATATCCGTTAATGTAATCTTTACTTCAAATATAAAGAATACAAAATTTAATTTACAAATTTAATATTGTATTACAATTTAGTCGCTGCTATAT